GGGAAGCGTAGAGTGAGTCAACTTATGTATGGGATTTTGAATCCAGCAGCTTTTGAGAAAATGTTTCTTCTCTTAATGGAAAGAAAAGGAGGGGCAGGGACAGGTCTGGGATACAGAACCTTTTATTGAAAGCCATCAGCAGAATTACCCCGTGCATGGAATGCCCAAGCCTCTCTCCAAGGTATAGGTAGGGCGCAATTTCGGCCAAGTAATCAATCAATACAGAAGTCCTCTCTACCCTTTCGGACATACATCTTCACCTGAAGAGAACGCACGGTCGTCATCGCTGTATCTAGGCTGAAAGTTGCACCAAATACAACTAAAATGATTAGGCATTCTATCCAGGTGAAGACGGTAGCATCTATCTAGTCCCTGGCGAGTGATGCGCTGAAGGGATTAAAAGCGAGAGTGAGATGCGTTCCGTGTGGACAAGAGACCTCACCAAGCAGCCCTGTATCTGCAAAGAGGCACAGTCACATATCACTAGGAAACCAAAGGACGGAGGACGAGAGAGTTCATAGATCCCAAACAAGAGCCCATAGCCCTTCATTTCTAGGGGTATATCCCGGGCGCCCGGCTCCCGATGTCACGCCCGGTTTGGCGATCGGGTGACCAGCCGGGCATGGGCCCGGGCAGCCCCAGCGCCAAAAAAAAAAAAAAAAAAAAAAAAAAAAAAAAAAACGGAAACAAACTATGTTGTTTAGAATTGCAATACAAACAACTTTTGGCTGAGGGTCACATCAGAATTCCTCACGAAACTGAAGATAAAAAAACAAATCACACTAAGGCACCCCCCTTCAAACCCCTTTAACCCCTTTAAAATTGATTTATACTCCTTCCCCCCACCTTGACAGCCAACTCTCAAAAAAAGAAAAGAGCCCGGATGTGGGCTCCTCTCGGAGAGCGCGGAAAAACCCCACCACCAATTTTTTATTATTATTTATTTTAATTGTTTCTTTCCCCATGCCCGGGTATCACAGGCATCAGACCCCCCCGGGCATCACGCCTGGGTGACCAGCCGGTCCAGACCGGCCGGTCATGAAAATCTTCCTAGCTTCATTTATTATTATTATTATTATATATTATTATTATCAGGGTTGCCAGGCCGAACGTACGGAGGCCCCTAAGCTGACCCCCGAACGTTCGGGCGTTCGGGTCCTCGTACGGGGCCCGAACTCGAAGGGGTTCGGACCCCGCAAAAAAATATTTTCGTACTTAAAAAATATTATTTTTTCCTGAATTTGTTTTTGTGAGTTCTTTGTTATGTAAGCTACCTGCCTGTTAATTTTGACGGCATTCTGTGAAGCCAAACAATAATGAAAAATCGGCAAAGATGGTGGTGTCAAAACTTGCTTGCCCACTTACTAGTTTGTTTTTTTCCTCTTTTCACTTTTTGTTTTCCCTTTATTTCGGGGCATGAAAAACACTATTATTTTTTCAAATTTTATTTATAGGTTCTCTATTATGTAAGATGCATATGTATAAAATTTCATGGCATTTTACAAAGCCAAAMAWAAATGAAAAATCGCCAAAGATGGCGGTGTCAAAAACGTGCTCGTCCACGCAATAATTTCGTTCTCGTTTTATTTTTTCTTATTTTCATTAATATTATTTATTTTTCGTATTTGATTTTTATTTCAAATTGGGTAAAGAATTTGTATGTACTGTTGAGGCAAATGTTGTTTAGTTTACTCTTCTGCATCACATATTTGTTTTTTCAGATTTTTTGGGAACCCTTTTTGTTTTTTTGTTTTTTTTTTTGGGTCCGCGTTCGGCCGAAAGGCCGAACGCGTCGAGAGGGGGTCCCGAACGTTCGGGCGTTCGGGTTCGGGTGTTCGGCCCGTCCCGAACGCCGGCAACCCTGATTATTATTATTATTATTATTATTATTATTATTATTGTTGTTGCTTTTAGTAGTAGTAGTAGTAGTAGTAGTAGTAAATTATTAATATTGGTATTGCCATTATCATTATTATTTTAAACCGGCTCCTTGCCCAAGGATGCGATTATGATTAGAAGATACAACGAGGTTACCAAGGCCATTCAAATGAAGTGGACAGTCAATCTCCTTCATAAACACACACCTATCATGAGGAAACTGGCTTCGACAAAACCCCGAATAATATACATGAATTGGGTGCTCGCTCGAACTCCAAAACGAAGAGTGCCACCGACTTTTGTTTCGTACTCCCCTGAGAAGACATTTCGCGTCTGATCTACCGTCGTAATGAGCCAAAGGTACAAGTGTTTTCTAGTTTAAGACTGCCACACGCTTGTTTATAGGAGTCACGAAGTTTTGTCTCCGCTCGAAACGTACAGGCACAGACTTAGTGCCATTTGATGAGTTACCAAAAATAAAGGAGAAGGATGTAAGAAAAACAAAGTGATAAAAGAAAAGAGTAATAGCAAGCAATAAAAATATTTTTTTCATGATCCATAGCGTGCAATTAATGTGGGTTGCAAAGCATAGGTGATGTCCGTACACTGGCGGACGATTCTTCCCCCCTTGTGGAGAAGCAACCCATATTGCTTGGCCTTCTTTTTTTTTCGTATCTACTATCTATTGGTTTTTCAAAAAAAAAATCTTATCTATATCTCCTAGCTAATATCTATTGGATTTTCAAGCTATTTCCTGTTAGTAGGAGATAAAATAAACCGCAACTCCGCAAAATGGAAAGTAGTGGCGGCCATAAGGTGGACATCAAATCAAACAGAGTTAGAAAAGAACAAGGGGTAATAAAAAAGGAGTTGAGCTTTTGGGGTAGGGTCCCATTTACCGAAATGTTTGCGTTCGGATGATAGATCATACAGATCAACGGCTGGAAATGAAAAAATAATGGGAAATGGAAACTTATATTCCTGCAGACATGTTTGGGGGGATGGGTGAAGATTCTAAAGATTCTAAGAATTTGATAAAGATTCTATCATTGTAAAGAATAAAATTCAATAAATAAAAGGCTCCATTGAGTCCACTGACTCGAACGAATAGAGAGAAAAATTTCAACAAATAAAGATCTGTCATTTTTGTGGAGAAAATACACGGGAAGGTTGATTTGATAATTACCAATCTATCTTCCTCCTTGCCGCCTCCAAATTTTGAGAGTACAGCTTTCACCGGACCTGGCATTCCCTTCCTCTGGCCACCCATCTGGAAACTGGATATTCCAAAAGTCATTCAACAAAAAAAAAAACAAAAAAAAAACGCATAGGTATATATTATACATCATATTTCAAGAATCACAATAACAAAAAAAAACATAGGTGTACATTATGAATCAGTAAGATACGGAAAAAAAAAAAAGTAAGATTGTCGAGACTCTACAATATTAAAAGCAAAAAAAAAAAAAAAGTTAAGAAACATAATGAATTATTAATTGTATCACAACAACTCCAGGTGGAGGAGATCTTAGGATATCACTTCGCTTTATGTATCTGTACTATTTGACCACAATTACAACCAGGATGGATACATCCGATGGTAATTACGCTGTCTCTTATACACATCTAGATGTGTATAAGAGACAGGGTATATATTATACATCATATTTCAAGAATCACAATAACAAAAAAAAACATAGGTGTACATTATGAATCAGTAAGATACGGAAAAAAAAAAAAGTAAGATTGTCGAGACTCTACAATATTAAAAGCAAAAAAAAAAAAAAAGTTAAGAAACATAATGAATTATTAATTGTATCACAACAACTCCAGGTGGAGGAGATCTTAGGATATCACTTCGCTTTATGTATCTGTACTATTTGACCACAATTACAACCAGGATGGATACATCCGATGGTAATTACGTCAGAGCCCCGTTGAAAAACGCCGTACAGTGAGTATGCCCTTGATATGGCAAGAAAATCAAACATACGACATGAAAGATGAAACAATGATGCTGACAAAAAAAAACAAAAATTTTCAACTAGATTGCAATCAGCAGTAGTCATCAAGGGTTCGACTGATAATATAGATTCTTTTTTTAGAAAACAAAAAACTATACATAGATTCTAAATGCGACTTCAAATCAATGAACACCCTCCTCTGCAATTTAAATTTTAAAATGACAAAAGGCAATCCTGGATTTCAAAATTCAAATTGGAAAAAAGAACTATTTTACTAGGTTACTGTTTTGGGGGATGAGGCAAAAGAAATTAAAGAATGATTACTTAATATTTATTCATTTATTTTGCCTCTGCAAATTTCCACTCCTCATGGTCAAAACCGCACCGCTCCCCCCCCCCCCCCCCCCCCCCCCCCCCCCCCCCCCCCCCCCCCCCCCCCCCCCCCCCCCCCCCCCCCCCCCCCCCCCTTTCCTCTCCACAGTTCCCCCCTCTCCACCCCCTCTATCGCCACCTAACAACTTGTAGCCACCAGACAACTAGATACCCCAGATCACCCAACTAATCGCCCCCGAGACGCAAAAAAAAGAAGGGATAAAAACATTATTAAAAAAAAAAAAGTTTGGTGTCCTATCCAACACCTTATGTCATTTTGGGTAAATCCGTTTTGCTGCATTTTCTACCGCAAACTCGCATCAGTAACTAAACGGTAATTTGGCTACTAAGGAGGGATGTGGCAGCGGCAAAAGAAAAGACAAAATTTGAGAACATGAGGAGTGCAATAAACCCATTTTCTGAAGCCTACATCATCATCATCATCATCATCATCATTATCATGCATCCACTCACAAAGCTCAATAAATTGTGAGTTACACCGCGCAAAGACAGAGCTGCAATGAAGTCTCACAACTAGACAGAGGGAAGAAGAACGGTGCAAAGAGGAGAATAACTCAGGAATAACAGGAGAACGATTCAAGCATAACTCAAGAATAATGGAGGGTTAACTCAAGATTAACTCAAGATTAACTCAAGATTAACTGGAGAATAACTGGAGAATAACTGGAGAATAACTGGAGAATAACTCGAGAAGAAGAAGAGAAGAAGAAGAGAAGAAGAAGACGAGGGAAACTTGAGAGATACCTTTAGGTTCCGAGTACCCCATCGGTTGACTTGTACGCACATGTATCTAACTGTAAGAAAACGGATCGCGAGTTCTAATCCTGGGAAAAAAATCAGATGCACACAAGAGTGACAAGACTGTACACACCTTTATCGGACTGTTAGAAAACAGTCACGAGTTCAAATCCTGGGTGACAAGACTG